AAGCCTTGTCTCCCTCTCTTGTCTTACTGGTATCCGACCAAAAGTAATTTCATAAAAAAAAAAACGCTTCAGATGGCCCAGGAAGGCAAAAAAACACCACACAACTCAATTAACCTTTCACTTAACTTTATTGGGATGTTCAAACCGAGATGTAATTTAGATATGCAATTTTCAGAGCTTTTTTCATAACCCTCATAGATTCTGTTCGTTCCATATAAACAATTATTAACCATGAACACATAGGGTGGTCAGCCTGTGCTACAAGTTGCGGAGACAAGCTTACTAAGCTTTATACATATGATACTTACGATGAAGCTGCGCTGTGATTGAAAAAGAAAGCAAATGTTTCCAGAAGTTCCTTTTCGGTTTTCACAACGTCATGAGGTATTGCTTCCCGGGGAGGTTCAAGTTTCAGTGCTTCTAACAACCCCACAGAGTCAACGAAATAATCCATAGTTGCTTCAAAACAGGTAGCCACTTTAGGTGAGCCAACAACTGAATTTTCCTGTTCCAAAGATTTCAGTCCGTCCAAAACTGCTTGAATACGTTGATCTTGACTTGCCATGTTCCGGTAGTAAAAACATCCTGCCACAACAACTGCAATGGCGACTACAGTAGCCACAGTATTAACCATTTGCTCCCTTCTTGACAACATTTCAAAAAGAAACGGAGAGAAACAACGACATAAAGATAGCACTTGGAGTCGTAACGGAATCCGTTTAGAATAAATTCTATTCAGTCTCGAGTTCGTCGAGACCGCAAACAAAAGTGTTAACCGCAGGGGATTTGAAAAAGCGCAAACGCAATGGGTGCTCTTAGGGAAAGACAAAAATAGAGGGTCTGTGGACTTCAGTTTCTTCACCCTGCGTGCTCTGCTTGCAGGATGCCGTTTCTCCAGAAACGGAAAATTTTCATTGGCTTAAAGGCGATCAAACATGTCATTACCATGTCAAGATCCATCACGCGCGCGGCATGGGATTTGAAGTGGTTGTAGTCACTTCGTACAGAGTCGGTTGCCGCCAAATTTGCATAATATGAGCATATGTTACGCCGTCGATACTTACACGAAATCGATATGAAAACAAGCCTGCTTCTTAGGTGGAATCTTTGGATTTCGAGCACTAATACCCGTAGTCATGTTATTTAATCGTGAAACGCCCTGAAACGTGTCCAATTAACAAATGGACGTCAGCTTTTTATGCGTCTGTCCTCTTATTGATGAGAAATTGCTTCATAACATTGTCAACGTGGCTGTGGAACCACGAGCCGTAGGCGAGTAGTTCCGCAGTAAACTTTGACAATGTTATGACGAAATTTATCATCAAAAAGAGGACAGACGCATAAAAAACTGAC